ATATAATTATCATCATGTTTGCAAAATGATTGCTCATTGCTGCTTCTAATTCTATCTTGCTAAAGGTCTTACAAAGAAACCCAAATAAATACAAAATTATAGAAAGGTCCTCGTGGTTTTTGTACTTTCTGCCTTCATAAGCCAAAAATATTTTACATTCATCAGTACTCGTGGCTCCAATATATATCATATATGTACCCCTTTTGTTTGTAATTTGAAACTCTTTCTAGGATTTTTGGTAATTAACCCCAACTTCAGGTGTGGTTCTGTAAGTATGCCTAATATTTATGCTGGTTTGTGAAAGTACGTATATATTTAGCTCATAGGTTCGGGATTTTGGCTGATATTAATTATACTAATGTGTAGGTTTGATTACTTGATGAAATTTAGGTGGAACATAATTATTGCTCGTAAAAGCAGCGTTTTCTAATAAGGTGCCCCTGTTTTCTGCTGTCCCTGTCCTGTATCATTCTTATCTTCCATATATATTAAACAAATGGTGGCTGTGTAACTATTAGACAACTATATATTATATATTATATATATTTTTTTTTTGTGTATGAGGGCTTAATTATTAGATGGATCACATGTCANCTTTTTTTTTTTTTTTTTTTTTTTTATATAATATAATATAAAATTTTATATTTTTATTCATATTTTTATAGAGTAAAAGAGTGACATTTCAGTTTAAAACGATGCATACAAATTTTAAAAAGTATGTCTGTCTAAATGTGTCATTATTGATATTATTTTGACTTCATGAATCCTTTAAAGTAAAATCTCTCCATATATTATAGAATGATAGACATACTATATGCATGAATCCTTCCATTTTTGTCTCTTTCATAAGTCAACTAGCTAAATTTATTTTCTCGTTTACACTTCATTTCATATATTTCATTGATCATTGTGTACAAATCTTTATTGTTTATCATCATGGCAAAAATATTTACAATTGACCAACATATGCTGTTAGTAATTTCTGAAGCCCCAATTTAATAACTTGTTCTCGCTTGTACGGTTGAGATTAAAAGCTGTAGGGAAGGTGGGGGCTACTCTAGATTCTTCCAAATCCCACTCCCCATTAAAACTCTTTGTTAATCGTTAGTTGATGCCTGATGGTTCCAATAATCAACTTAAAAGGGTGGGTATTTTATTTTATTTTTTTTTGTTTCAAAAAAAGGGTGGGTATAATAATTAAACCTAATCATATATTATAATGATATAGGCTATAGTTATATGTTCGTATACTACAGCAATGCACAAAAAATGGAAGTGGCAGAGATGATAATGTTGAGGTGGATGTGTGGGCATACTAAGTTAGATAAAATTAAAAACGAAAGTATTAGAAATAAAGTTGGGGTAACGTCCATAAAATAAAAATTGAGAGAATTACGATAAAGATGGTTTGAGCATGTGCGTAGGAGAGACTTCGAGGCACCAATCAGAAGGGTAGAAACATTAGATTTAAGAACGCAAATTAAAAAGGGAGTGGTAGACCTAAGAAAATTTAGAAGCAGATAATAAAAAATTATTTAAAATATATAAATTTGAATGAAGATATGTGCTTTGATCGAGCACGATGACGACATGTGATCCATATAGTCAATCCTACTTAGTTGGATTTCAACGGCTTGTTGATTTGATTTCATTATAATATACCAGTGCACAAAGTTCTCACAACAGACTAGTCACCAAATTGGTTGTGGTAATTTACTGCAAATGCTAAATTAATATGAGAACATTAGAAATTAAGGATGTGTGTACAACTGACCCCCCAGACCCCAATCTGTTGGGAATATATTGGGTATGTTGTTGTTGTTGTTGTTGTTGTTGTTGTAGAAATTAAGGATGTGTTTGTATATAAAATTACTCAATTCATATTCAAAATTTAACTCAACTATTACCCAACCTCATTATCCCCAATATTATGAATATAATTAAATAATATTAACTAATAATTTTTACACATTACATCCGTTTTAATTTACTATTTATCTATTCGTATAATTTTAACTAATCATCACTTCATATCATCTCTCTTCTACTTTTATATCAAATCAACTATAAATATTTTAAATATTATTTTAGTATAAACTCGAAATTCTACTAACAATTAACTATATTACTTTTTTTAAAATTCATCATAGTTAACAACAAAAACCTCATTTTAAGCGGATATATTTATATACGAGCACACCTATTTGAATAGTTATACTACAACTTAATTGATATGCCTCAAGTAGTATTTAAATTTTTTTAAGTTCGTTTACGACTTAAAAGTAGTGGTTGGAAAATGTGCTATCGTGTTATATTCGTGTTTTATTGTCGTATTTTGATGTAAATTACTTTTTAATAAGTGTGATATTAAATTTGAAATTTAATTAAATTTTTCACTTCGTGCTTGTGGCGTCTTTTTTAGTATCATTTGTTTTTGTGATCATACTCCCTTCATTTTGAAATATAAGGCGTTTAAAGATTCTTCAATTTTTTTGAAATATAAAGCGCGTTAAAAAATTAAGACAAATTTTTGTATTTTTTTTCTAAATATATCCTCATTGTGTTGAAATTAAGGAAGTGTGGAGTGGTTTTGATTAGAGTAAATTACTAAATAAAGTTAATTTAGTTAATTTATTTATTAATTAATGTCTCTTTAATATTTGTATAATAATCTTAAATGTCTTATATCTCAAAATGGAGGGAGTATTTTTTAGTATTTATTTTTTCTTTTACTGTTATCTGACCCACAAAGGTCTTCAAACTTTGGAGTGCGTACAATGTATATGCGTGGTGGTAATTAATTTGTTTGTCTCTGGTCTGCGTGCCACATGTATAGTGTGTTTTTTTTCTGTCATATCATATGTTTAAGTTATAGTGTTATACGAATGCGTGTTCATTACAAATCAACTCTGATCTTCCTTTTAAAAGGACACATATCCCACGTTTTAGTTGTTTTTTTATGGTAAAATCAAAACAATAGTTCACTTTTTAAGTTTTTACAGGTGATGAAATATGAAGCTTTACATGCTACATCACGATAGTTTTGATGTACGGCATTTTTATGCCAATTAGATTGGAGGGCTCTAGAATCTATAAATAATAATATATCATTACGTCTAATAAACTATTTCTTTTTTCTGATTATTTATAGCAGGTTGGATTTCCTTTTCATTTCTTTTTCCAATTTTATCTATAGCAGACTGGATTGCCGATTTCTTTCTTTTGAAATTGTTCTGAGCAAGCTGCAACAATTTTTAAATATTTTTATTATTTTTTAATTTAGGGAGTAAATTGATTTTAATCAACTATTCTTATTAATTTTTTTTCTTTGTTATTCAAAGAAAAAAAAAATATCTTCTATATGCATAGAAAATATTTAATGTAATAATCAAATTTATATGGTTCGATATACAAACAAATATTTTTTTTTGTAAATATTTTACAGTTTATTGAATAAATTTACGTAGAAGAAATCTAAACCAATTTTAATTTGAGGAAGAACCAATTATTGCTGTATGGCCGATATCTCCGATGCCCTTCTAGATTAATTAATTTAAAAAACAAAAAGGAAAATTGTCTTGTCGTTGTAGCGGATAAAGACGGGGTCATTTTGGACATAAATAAATGAATGTTGGACTTGGAAAATGATATAGTACACGTGTCAGCTCGTAAGGACGTTTCCCAGCACGCGGAAAACAGTACCATCCTTTATTATTAATAGCTAATTTATTCAAATAAAAACAAAACTCATGTACCCACCCATTCATTCACCTAATCATGTGTATTTTATTTTATTAGTTTGATCGGTTTCGTTTATTTTTTGGAAGACATTTTTTAATATACTTAAAATTATGATATTTCTTAATTTAATGAAACATGTTGAATTCTAATAACTTTTGATTTAATGCTTCACTCTGTTAAATGAAATAATATAAATTAACTATTATTAAAAAATTGACTGATATTAATATATAAATATATATATCATTCACGGTGAATTAATGTTTAAAATTATAAATACAATAATCATAATTTGTTATTTATGAAAATAGTCTTTTTCACCCCACTATGGATATGTATTAGGTTTTTCATACCGCCCGTAGATAAGTTAACTTTTTCATCTCAGAAAGTGCAAAAAGCATTGTGCGATGAATACGCGATAGTTGCGCGATGACATTATACGAAAGTTAAAAGTGCGAAGGCATTCGCATATCCCTTTGCACTTTCTGGGGTGGAAAAAGTGAAAGTGCGAAGGCATTGCGCGATGAATATGCGACAGTGATGCAATTGATATGCGACAGTTATGCAGTCCATTCGCATAACCTTCTCAATTCCTGGAGTGAAAAAGTTAAATTGTTAGTGAGCGGTGTGAAAAAATTAATGTTGTAGTGGGGTGAAAAAGATTTTTTTCCTTGTTATTATATAATTAATCATGCTTATTTGAATGTAAATTTGTAGTCTTGATTATTTATCAACAATTTTGCTATGAAGCCAACAGTTGGCTCAATAGTGGAGCCAACCTTTTATATACAACAAGTAAATTATATCACATTAATAAAATTATTAATATTTATTTAAGTAATCAGAGAATATGGTATGGTTTATTTGTTGTATATAGAAGGTTAGCTTTACTATAGAGCCAACTGTTGAACTCATAGCGAAACTGTATTTATCAATGGCTTAAATGTTTTGTTTTAATTTATCGTAATAAGGTGAGTCTGACATGTTTTGTTGAAATATTACTCACCCCATTATAAATAAGTGTGAGACAGGTGTAGATACTAGAGACCCACTTATTTGTGGATTGGAATGATTTTTAGTTCCTTTTATTTAATTTAGTTATGACATTCAAAACTTACTACATGCAATTATGAATACATATTGCTATTTTCTCTCCATCCATTAAAGAAATATCTTTCTATATTAAATTTTTATTATATTGTTTTAAACTATTTTTTCAACTTTACATACGTAAGAATCTTAAAGTAGAGAAAGAAAATCGTCAAAGTGTTGAATATAGAGAACATAATCAAAGTATATGATTAAAGAGAATACGTATTAAAAAAAAGTAACATTCGAATATTTTAATGATGAATTTTTCATAAAATATAATAAAAACAAAACAAAACGTGGAAAGTAATAACTTTTTAAAATTATAAAATGACATAATACATGAGAGAAAAATAAAAGAAAAAGGACCCTAAATTTGATGCCATACAATCTTGAGGTCCCTCTGTCCCCACTCCCCACCGGTCTTGCTCTCGTGGGGATTTCATTTTGGTCACCGTGAACCAAGAAGAAATTGAAACGATAAACTATAATAATAGTTAAAAAAAAAACGCATAATAATATAATAATAAAAAAGAGATTCTGCACATATATATTTGTAAAAGAACCAATAAATAAGTTGAGCTCGTTAAGGAGCTTAACGATTTTAATTAAAAGTTTGGAAAATGACCCGAAATCCATTGTTTATCAAGCTTAGTGAGTTTTCACCTGCCGGAGTTGAGCTTGAGCTTGAACTCAATGTTTTATTAAACGAGCCAACCTCACGGATAATTCATTTTGTTGGTCCAAACTCCAAAGATTAAAAAAATAAAAAATAGATAAATAAATGAAACTCATATGTCATCTGTTTTCTCTCTCCATAACCCCTCAGCGCCTCTCTCTATACATCATCTACACACACTATACATATCTTCTTGCAGACCCTGTAAATTATTCCAAGTAAAAAGAAGAAAAAGGCGGAGACAAGGGAAAAAAATCGTTTCTTTTTCTTTTTTCCTCCATTGATATATCCGAGCTCACGATCGCCTAGTGTATTTGCTCAATGAATGCTATTTAGAACTCACCTATCAGGTACCAAAGCTCATCTTCTCTTTCTTCTCCATTTTTTCTTTTTCTTTTTTTTTTCTAAAAAATGATTTCTTTTGATTTGTAAGAGTTGAAATCCCCAAGCTTTGATCCGTTGAGTGGAGGAATCAAAATCTGATCTTTTGGTTGTTTTTTGACTGACCCTTGTAGAAATTAGAAAGAAAAAAAAAAGATCGAAAAGAAGGAGCTAAAAATCAAGTGCCTCGCGGAGTTTCTTCCGATCATGGCAGTGGTGGATAATGCTGGAGCAAACGCGGTACAGCCGTCAAAAACGGACGCTAAGCCAAACGGCGTCGCCGCGGCGGATCACGACCAGAAGCAGCCGACAGAAGCCGCCTCCGACACCCAAAAGTCAATCGAGCCCATCGCCGGTCAGAATTTCCCGCTGGCGCAGCAGAAAATCTCCAACGGCCGCCATGGCCCGATCGACGGCAGCGGAGTCCCGCCGGAGGGAAAAACGAACGGCGAGGAAGGGTTTAAGAGGGAGATGAGGGATTTGGAGGAGATGCTCTCGAAGCTGAACCCCATGGCCAAGGAGTTCGTGCCGCCGTCTCTTTCCTTCCTTGACGGCCGGCAGCCGAGGTTTCTGGTGGCTCCGCCCCATGTCGTGGCGGCAGCGGCGGCGGGGCATTTTGGGTTCACGGCGACTGGTTTTCTCTTGCAGCAGCCCATGAGCCCTGGAGCTCAAAGCGGAAATTCCTTTCAAAAGGTTTGGTCTTTATTTTATATTTTTAATTAATTAAAATACTATTCTGTGTTGGGTGTCGCCTTGAAAAGTCTGATGATTTTCTGTTCTGTTAAATGCAATCCATGTTTTGGTTTTGTAATGGCTTGTGTTGTAACAGTCGGATTTTTTAAGGTCGACTTATTAGGACTAAAG